ACTTGCATTAGCTTTCATGTCACTGTGCCTGCCCTTACTTTACATGTAAATTTTAATGAAAGATACAGCACTTTAAAAATCAGACGTCCATCAGAAGTGCTATTAGCCTGCCTTTTACAAAGCATGTGTCCTGTTTTGCTACCTCTGCAACTCTGCACAACACTGAATGCCTCAAATGAAGAAAACAGAGGAAGGGAAAAAGAAGGGCTTTCAATGATATCAATTAAATACTCTCTTAGGGTAGAGTGAAACCTGAGCCTCACTGAAAACAGAAGACTACAATGCAGCCTAAGATGATAGTATTTTCGCTCCTGTTTACACACAATGAAACCACAATGCCTTTAACTCTCACAGGAATCATTCTTCTTAATGCAAATGAAAGCCAGCAAAAATCAGCTGTTTATTCACACTTCAGGAAGACACCGTTTTAAAATAAGCAGAAAGAAAACATGTAAGAAAAAATAGTTACCTATAAACTACAAAATACTTAACATTATTAAATATCTTATGCATACACATTATTTGTAAACACACATGCTCACATGCACAAACAGAAAGTAATTTACCAGAAATGTCTTATTTAATGTCTCATATGTTTGCCTTCATAAATATATAACAAAGAGGTATAAAAAGAAGAATAAGACATCTATTCTTTTGCATTAGCTGATATTGAACATTTAAATGACCTCATTCCCCAATGTTCTGAAAATGTCATCACCTCTGGAATAAAAAGAAATAGGACGAATGCCTTGCAGAAACATCCCCCAATATTCATCAATTATAAATCATCACAAATTAGACTTCTATGAATTACGTTAAAATATTTTTTCTTCCCTAAATAAAATAAGAAGCCAGTATCAAAAATCTACTTACAAAAACATTTCAGAAGAATGACACCTTCATTCAAGGGGTCTTGATTTTATCAAAAGCTTTTGCAGATTAAGTATTTGCTAACCATAAAATAAAATGCTTGATTTTTCAAAACAGTCATTAAGAATAAAGTTTAAACTAAAAGTCTCCATCCTTACAAGAATGCAGGATTTTTTTTCCCACCAAAGGAAAACAAATCCATTACCATACATATTTCTGAGTCCTTTCCTTAATACTTTTAAGTGTAGAAAACAAAAGCATACAATATTCACATTTAAAACCCAAATACTAAAATACTTTACAGGGCAAAGCAGAGCTTAAAAACCACTGCCAAGGCTGGCAAGATGAACACAGTGTTGTTTTTCCCCTTGTATAATTAGACATTTATAGAGTACAAATGCTTGAATTTGTTAGTGATGCTTGACTTCAATATTTGCATAAACTCTTGGCCATTCAGATGGACTTATTCACATAGAACCATTTAGGTTGTAAAAGACCTTTAAGGTCATTGAGTCCAGCCATTAACCCACCACTGCCAAATCTACCACTAAACTGTGTCCATGAGCACCACATCTACATGTCTTTTAAACTTCTCCAGGATTGGTGAGTCAAACACATCCCTGGGTAGCCTGTTCCAGTGTTTCCAACCCTTTCCATAAACTTTTCCTAATATCCAGTCTTAAAGTCCTCTGGTGCACCCTGAGGCTATTTCCCCTCATTCTACCACTTGTTACCTGGGAGAAGAGTCTGACTACCAGTTTGCTACAACCTCCTTTCAGGTAGTTGTAGAGAGTGATAACGTCTCCCTTGAGCCTCCTTTTCTCCAGGCTAAGCAATCCCAGCTCTCTCAGACACTCCTCCTAAGATTTGTGCTCTAGACCCCTCACCAGCTTTGTTACCCTTTTCTGGAAACACTCCAGCACCTCAATGTCTTTCTTGTAGTGGGAGGCCCAGACCTGGACACAGTACTTTTGGTGCAGCCTCACCAGTGCCGAGTACAGAGGGATGATCCTTTCCCTAGTCCAGTTGGCCACACTATTTCTGAAGCAAGTCAATACAAATCTTAATGGTATTACTGGTGAAAAAGAACCTGAAATTATTTTCCAGATCAGTAAGGTCCAGTCATTTCCTTCCATTCAAGCTCACAAATGCTATTTCATTTTTTCTGTGCCATTACCTTCAGATCAATATTATTGATCAATTTCAAAAAATAAGAACTTCACACTGCTCTCTGAGAGCAACGCTAAACCTTCCAAGACTTAAAAAACCTACTTGGGTTAAGAGCAGTTAGGACCAAGGGAGATAATCTGATCTTGTAAGGCTGATTATTACACAGGGACATTGGCTACTTTGTTCTACACAACATGCACTTAAAAATGTCCCACTCCTAAAATATGTGAGTAGTCTTTCATTTCTCTCTGAGAATGAAGAAAAGACCTTCTTCATATTGAAAATGAGTGTGCCACTGTACAGTTTCTCACACCAAGCACAGCTACCGATACAAGGAAGGACCCACATGCCTTAGAGAAGAATCAGCAGCCTGCAGACTGCATGGCTGCTGCAGAGGTGTCCTGTGCACATCCAGAAACCAGCCATATCTCACTGTCATTCTCTGTGTCAAAGAAAACATTTAGGACTTTTCAGTTCTTTGGGTTCTTGGCTCACTGGACTCAATGTGAACTTTGCTACTGCCTTCAAGAAGACAAAGGATTTCATTCACCAAAAACAGCAAATTCCCATTAGGAATACTGACAATTTTAAACAGGAACATGAACCTCAAAAAAAGTCAGATCCAAACCAAGAGCAATGGTAAAACAAAACCCACTGCATACATAAGACAACGGTGAAAGGTAGCAAAAAGGCAAATAATCAGTTCCTTAACAAAGGTTTACAAGAGAACAAATTATATGGAAGAACATGACTACATATTAACTCTAGTACAACTGCAAATTAAATTTGGATATTTATGATTTCCTTTGGTATCATTTACTTGTAGGGGAGTGTTAGGGAAATAAACTTAATATAATTGTCCCTAAAGTGTCAATACCTCTCCAGAAGAGAAGCTGTATTCAGCAATTCATGCCAAACTAAATAGAAGTCCTCCCTGCTCATCACAGATTTACCTCACCTCCACAACCAGTTCTATACATCAAATAAAAACACAAACAATGCATATACGTTCAGTTTCTTAAAATGCAAGTGGTACCCAGGTGTTCTTCCATATCTCAACTACTCCAGCCATTACCCCAGTACACCTACACTGCATCTTATTGAACTTTCCAGGAACTTATTAAAAATATTAAAATCTCCTGGACATATTAAAAATTATAGATGAAAAAGAAGTCTCTTTACTATAGTGAAAACAACTAACAAAACACTGGTTACAAAGGATGAAGGCAAGGTCACATACTACTATATGTTGTGAAGAGGTTTTATGAAATCAAATAAGTCATATCCAAAATTAAATCAAATGCATCACATCCTTTGGCTCCATATGTGGCATGAGACAGAGCTGTTGCCAGTTTTTACTAAAAACTACAAGAATATAAAAAAAAATATGAACCTTCCATGCAATCATTAAGAGGTCTGGTCCCACCTCTGTGAGCTGAAGGCCATGCATGGGTTCAATATTACAGTTTGAGCCCTCTGAAAGCAATGCCATTTTCACACAGAGTGATGGTCCTCTGATGAAGTCACTCAGTATAACTAGAGTTAAAAACTACACATAGCTGGGAAGTGAAATGATATTTTCACTCAATGGCACAATAAATTAAGTTTCAGTACATATGACTTAATTGTGGACTATATATTATAATCCTCATGCCTGCCAGCTCAGTTAGGAGTTTTGCCTAGGAAAAGACTTTTAGCTTAGTCCTACATGGGCTGGCCTGCAGCACAAATGCCACTCAAGGAAAGCAGGGAGTAACATGAGCTAAGGCTACACTATACAAGGACTTGACCTGATCTACAAGGACCCTTAAATCACACTAAGCCATACATCAGCTAACTGAATTATTGGCAGCTGTGTTGAGGTACAATAACATTTTGTATGATGTGCTTAGAACCATTAGGTTCTCGTATTTTTTACAGTGTATATATGTGATTATTATGTTCTGATGTTCACCTCTTGCTAAGAAGACAGCTCTGAATACCTCCCAATTTCATAGTTGCACAATTGGTCATTTCATTCCCCAATATCTTATTAGCGTGGACACAACAGCATCCTCCAACATGTTAAAACCATGATGATCAATAGATCAATTCTTCAGCAGTGTATTTGTTTAGTAAGCCTCAGCATAACAAAACCTTTTAATCTTTCTATCTCATTGGGAAAAAAGGACCAAAAAAAAAGATTTTTCTCAAGCCCTGCTTATAATTTATCAATTAATCTTCAACACTCCTTCCAGTCGAACTGAAGACCCACAGCAGGTTTGAAGCATTTTGCCTTTTTGACAGTTTGATTAGGGATGGATGACTGCCCTCTGCATGCCTAAGATAGGTGTGAAGTGCTGAAGAGCAAGTTCAAGCCCCAGAACAGCCTTGCATGCCCTGTGCTGTACTGAGCTGCAAAGGAAATGCACCTCTCTGCTTAGCAGTGCTGACCACTTCTGTTTCCTCTGCAGCTTTCTGGAACTCAATTTCTCTTTGAAAAACACCTTTGCACTAACAGAAAGGATGGGAAGCAGAACTGGGGGGAGAAATGATAGCTCACAAGACCTCCATTGTGGAAGGGTGGTGGACAAGCCCAGGTTCCGCTTCCACCAACACCAGTACCAAAATTAGCAGCAGTGGCATCACTCCAGTGCAAGAGTCAGCATTATCAGCTTACTGGCCTCTGGCTCTGTCTTTGAACAGACAGTCCCTTTGCATCCCAGCATCACCAGCTACAGACACCCTGACACTGACCCATCCATACTTAGTATGAACAGGAAGAAAATAACATCTCTTAAGAAGGCCTCAAAGCATTCATCTTAATAAATATTTCCTCCATAATCCAATACAAAAGACTGCTAAGAGACTTAAAAATAAAAGCAGTAATTTCCAATATGAAACACATTCATAGAAATACAATTTGTCCATTGAAAAACATTGTACAAGCAATGAAGTCTTAGAAAGAATGCAATCTCTACCTTTACTTCTACCTACAGATGGGAAGATGGCATCCAGTTAAGAGGAGGAACAAGAGGGTTATCCATCATGGAGAAGGCAAAAGAGAAGAGAAGGAGAAAGCATTAAAGAAACCCAGAAAAATATGTCACTGGCCACACTTAGAAAAACAAGGAAATGTGCACATTTATGTAGCAGCCAAACCCAACAAAACAAGGGAAAAACAACAGACACACCACAGCTAAAGCACAAAGCAAAGCTTAAACCACCAGCAATACAACCAGCAATGGCTTGGTTAAGCCCTTTGGCTTTGATTTTCTACTGAGAAATGCAAACTGCTCATGCAACAGCACGAGCCAGTGATATGCCTCAGTCCACGTCAAATTCAAAACAGCAAGGGAAACAACAGAATAGGACAGATAAAAAATAAATCTCATGGTTATATATTTGCTAAACACATCTCACCTACCAGAGCAAATGTATTTGTATATAATGTTGACATTGCATATTTACTCACATATATATTTACATATTTTACATCTATCATATTTTTACAGAGAGTAAATATTTATCAAAAGGCAGTATCTGCGAGTTCGTTAGCAAGAAAAGAGAAGCCACTGTTCCCTGATGTGTCATGGTGGCTAAACAAGGGTGGCTAAAGTTGCCAAAAAACAGTCATTTTCACATTTTTTTGCCAGACAAGGGAGTATAGAAATTGCTGATGATCATACAGGCCTGGATAGGTCATGCAAGTCTTCATGAGCCAGCTGGGTTGCAACTTTTAATTTAAATGGCCAAGCGCAACTATTCATATAATCCAGTGCTAAATCACAGACTACTATAAAGAAATGTTCAGTGTTACTGAAAACGAAAGTGGCCATCAAAGTTCACTGTCTTGATCACTTCCAATGTGCCTTCCTCTGTTAACAGTTTGCCATACTCAACTGTATCCTGAGTAACTAGGATATGCGGAAGGGACCTCTCTGCTGGATGCTCCCTCAACAAGCGTTACCTCTGAGTCATGTGCCCAGTTGAACAGTTAGTGGTGATAGAGAAGGAGCTCAATGCTTCCCAGAGTTCAGCCAAATGCTCCACATGCCAAACACTGTGGTCTTGACACGCACCCATAAAAAGCCCAATTTTCCTACTTTTCCTACTACACAGGGATGTTAAGCAGTACAGAAACTGACAAGTGAGCCCCAACTTCACTTCTGATTGTTTCCTAACCTTTCATGACCTCAGAACAGACTTGACCAACAGAATAAAAAATGATTATGTCCTAAGCCTCTCTACATTTTGCTGAGATATACAAAAACTACTTCTCTTTTATTCAAGCACTTAATTACTCTTGAGCCTTCACATGCACTGTATTCTATCTTATTAACTCATTGGAGTGTCTAACCTCAGATATGTGCTTACTTAACAGCAAAAAAAACTCAAAACTTTTGTGTTCATCTAGCCTAGGAAAGCTTCATCAGGCTTTAGAGTCAAAACTCACATTGTCTCCCCATAGACAAACAGTTGGTCTGGTCTTTCTAGTGCACCATATGCACACACCTTGCATTAAGTCCTCCATTATTTCACTTCTGCATTCACAAGACTAGAAGGCATCAGCAGTGCTGCTAACTCTTGTGTACCCATGTCTGCACTGGCACTGTCAGAGGAAAACAGAATTACACCTCTCCTGACTTCACCTGTCCTCACCAGCTTCTTACTCCACACCCTCGTAGTAAAAAATGGGACTAATGACGTCACCACCAAAATATCGGTAACTCAGGGCAAGCCGAGATACTAAAATGTGATCTCTGATCTGGGCCTAGATCCCATTTGTAGCCCAGTCTGGGTTAGCCCTGTTGTTCTTCTAAACCATTTTGTTCTGTGCATATTTGAGTATTTTAAATTGCAGACACAGGACAACCGGCCATTATGTGCAATTTTCCTCAGGATTCATAATGAGTTAGGATCATGCCATGAGGGTTATTAACATACTTTTTGTAATAATTGCACTCCTAAAAATGAAGACCAACATTGAGGTCTACATTTAGTAGGCAGAAGTGGGAGTCTTTACAGCTGGCACAAGAAGAAATAAATGGCAAGATAAAATAATTGGTAGGCTGCATGGAAGGGGGAAGCATACCTCTTTTCTGTCCCTGGAATCATTTCATGCTCACTCCTGGGCCTCTGTGTCCCAGACTGATCAGTAGCCTTGACTCATGGGACACAGAAGCTTGACTGGCACTCAGTAGGCTTAATTGTTTTTTTTATGCAAAGCCCAGCTCAGAAAAGTAGCAGAGACTTTCATGATCAGTGACTGAAACAAAGAGAAAGTCAAAGGACTTACCTTGTTCACCCATCATCAGGTGTGAGAGGCCTTTGAGAGAGAGAGAGAGAGAGAGAGAGAGAGAGAGAGAGAGAGAGAGAGAGAGAGAGGAAGTAAGAGAAAACTGAAAAAGAAGTAGCAATATCCATGCACACTGTTTGCAGTCCAATACCTGTCAGGATTGGAGCTCACATACTTGAATTAGATCAAGTATGGGTGTAGCACACAGGACACAAACATTTACAGGTGCTGCTTTCCACTCTGAACAGGAAAGCATCTGTTGCAGGCAGAAAAACCCCACTGGTCATTGCAGAACTGTGTTTGAGGTTCAGCATATCCCTTTGAGGGCAACTCCAGAGGCACTGCACACCAGTACAGCTAAAAGGGCTATGAAAGCCAAGGTCTGCAATGAGAGTCTGCAGGGAGCATTTGCTCCTCTGAATAGATACAGAAATAACTTCTCCTCAGCTGAAGATTTTAAATTCAAGGCTGTACTGGTCAGTAAAAGGGAGGCCATGATCACACCACATCTGCTTCAGATGAAACATCTTGGCTAAATGCATACATATACACAAAGCTATCCTCATACTTGAATGTGTGGCTTCATCACGTGTTTTTAGGAGTCTGTCAAGATTGCTCACACTTATTTACTAATTAGACACCAGTACACCAGACATAGTAAGAACTAAAAAAATTACCAATGACCTATTTAAATACATCTCCATTCCCTTTCTGGGGATTCATTTTCCTAGGGCAGTGTGTTACTTTATGGCGCTATAGCTAAAGCTACTCTTTGTTTTCATAATTGAAGGTAAAGCCAGAAAGCAGCACTGCTCCCCTCAGCAGTGACACTCGCTATCAGCTCTGTAGATAAGGTTATAGTGTTTACTTGGGCTGCTCCAGTCTTTTGGTTTGATAATTCTTTCTGGCACAAACCTTTTTTGTTTTGATTACAATCCATTTCTAGGCCCGATTTTCAAATATGTTTACTGTACAATTTTTTTTATACAAACATTATTTAGGTACTATTGTATATATATTCATGCCCAAGCCATTAAGCATTAAGCGACCCATTAGTCAATTTTGTGACACAAAAAAAAAAATATCACAGACCTAACAGAACAAAAGTCAAGTCCTTCCCACTCAAGCCAAATGTGATCCCTTTTGTACTTGGTTCCCTGACCAACTTCCCTGAGCTTGATTACTTCTCCATATCCACTATCTCTCATAGCACTTAATATGGCAGGGGTTTTGATATTTGCACACACACCATACACACCCCATATCTTAAGTCAGTTTTTTAACCAAACAGGGCTGTGACTTTTTAATTTCACAGAGGCTGAGAGGTCAAATGAATTTATTAGAATGAGAATTTTCAACAAGCAGCATGTTGAGTTTGAATTTGTTTATTTCTCCTTCATTTATATTTTTCCTTTGCATTGGCTGAAGAAATCTAAAACCCAGATCATCCTAAGAGTATGTTCACCCACAGAGAACTCCAAGCCAGATAAGGGGATTAATAATTGTACAGTCAGAGGAATGCAAATATCTTAATGTTCTTGAAGATTAATGTGGATTTAGAAAAATAATCAGAAACACAACATAGGTTTAGATTTTTTTTAGTTCTTTTAGCTATAAATAAACGTAGCAGATTTGATACTGTAGGACATTCCTGGTTTAAGTCAGAAGATATAATTCAGTGAATTTGTGTCTCTATTTATGGCAACTGATCCCATCATTCTTGATAGGCAAATCTTAGGTCTGCCCAAACGGACACTTGAAAGTCACTGTAAAAGGCAAGAAGACAACAGCATAATTGTTAGGACCTACAACACACAGAGACCCTGTAGCAATGGCATAAAAAGAGAAAAGGCTAGAAGGTGTCTGACATGCAGCTGAAGCTGGCTGAACAGGGAGAGGACGTCAGATCTGAAGCAGAGATAGTGGTCCTCAGCCCTTGTACACTGTGGGAAAGGAAAGTCATGCCTAAGAGGCCCAGTACCAACAGATGCAGCTGCTGGAGATGGCAGGAGTTTAGTCCACTTGAACAGGGACAAAGAGAAACCTCCAGAGAAGGTTCAAAGCAAGAGTCTGCATTAAACATCCTGAAACACACCATAGGAAGATCCCTTCTCTCTCCACCAGCCACAGAGGAGCTATAAAAAACCTTCAAAATGTCAGGAATGTCACACCCCTTTTTGTCCTTTATCCACAGAAGGCCAGTGCTGTGTGCCCTATCTGTCAAGCACATCATCCAGATGCAGCCCCAAGCCTTTTGCCTGCAGTTAAGGAGTGAGAGCAACCCCCAAATATACCCACTATTGTGGTCCCTGGTTTAGCCTTGGTTCAAATGCCTTCGAAGGAAAGAGTCCTTAAGAAATGTTTTGACACTTTCTGTTTCTTCATAAATTGGAAATACAACAGCACGTGTGGTATGTACCTCTTGATATTCCAGTCCCAACTGGACAATGAAAGCAAGGAGATAAATGAAAAATAGTGCATTCCCCCTCAATGCTACTTTTTCCTTTTTAAAATGTGAAGAAAAAGGAGGGTAGATTTGGAGATAGAGCAAAAAATCAATATTATATCTTAAATTGTCCATCAACACAGATCCTTATTTTAACAAAGAGAACACCAACAGAATTCCAGATTCATTATTAGATAGAATAATAATAGAACATTATGAAATAACATATCAGCTTTTCTCATCTGAAAATTTTCCTCCCTTGCAATTTAAAGTAGGAGTGAAAATGAGTGTGTTTATCTCCAACAAAATGCAATTAACCAAAACCTTCAACCACTGAGATATAAAATCTGTGACATTTGCAGCATGTGTAACAAAGGCCTCAAATTAGTCAGAGTAAAATCAACATAGAAAACATAAACTGACACACTTGTCTCACCTTTATATCAGTTCCGAGACATGACAAATGCAAGAGTTGTATGAATTGTTCAGACCTGCAAACGAGACCAGACTTTGCCAGAATAGTGGGGCTATTTGGGCATCAGTCATAAAGACCAGCAAAGTTTTCAGCAGGCTCAGGATGCTAAATGAACTCATTAGGCCCCAAAGCACATTATTTACATATTCTTTTATAACATTACCATTGTTGGTGCCAACAGCCATCCCATTTCAGAGGAATCCTATAAGAAAATCTGAGTTTCCACCTAAATCCAGGTGAAACATCCTTTCCACTTAATCTTAGATCTGTTCAACAAGAAACCCTGATTATAGCCTCAGAACTGCAAACCCAGACAGTGTAGAACCAGGAAAATGTTGACACAAATCTGCATGAACTACAATGGTCAAGGGATTGCATGCTTCTAAATCAATCTAGTCATCCTTATAATAATTTCCTGGCTGGGCACAACTGCTGCTCAACAAAAATGGTGGGTAGTAAGTGCTCTGAAAAAGGTTTAGGAAAGCCTCAGAGCAAATTACTTATCTGTCCGTAAAGAAATTTTATGTCTAAGTCAGGAATCCGGTGATTTTCTATTCATGAACTTCAAATATGCATCACAGTAAGGACAACCCCATTGTTTCAGAAGAAGACTCTCAACAGGTTTTTTAGATGATGATAAGCATCTGCTTGTACTCAGCCTCTGGAGCCCCAGCTTCTTCAGACATTTGGCAGTAATGTGAAGCAAAATTGGCCTGCTTCTTCAGAACATTAGTTTGTTATTAAAATAGTATGTCCATTGCTGAGGGCAGATAGACATATAAACTCTGCTCTCTGGCCATGATTTATGCCTGCCACAACTGATTTTTCCTATTTAGGTCTGGGAGTTTTTTTAATATTTCTTTAACCTACCAAATCAGTATTATTTTCTTAAAGGTTATTACTAATATCCCTTGATCTTAAAGTAACATTTCAAAGAATCACTTTTTAAAAAAATTTTGTGAACCATCTGCTTCCTATATCAAAACAGTAAAATCAAGCTCTAATTGTACAAAGTATCAAAGGCCAACACTGGATTCTTAGGAAGCTAGAAGGACATTTTTTAAAGTAGATTCAGAGTTCAATGATATGAAAGAGCAATGTAGTTAAACAGCAGTCTTCATCTTTAAGGATTTTCTAGGGCTAATTTCCAGTGTGGAAGAGAAAATGAGGGAAACCTTGGAGGCAGTTTGAGTCCTACTTACCCCCACATTTTGATACTTAGAACTTAAAATGGAAAATAAAAGGTGGGGATAGCACAAAACACAGCTGAGAGTGACAAGTGATTGCAGTAACAAAGGAAGATGAACTCCTTCATCTAATTAATTACAGCCTGTCCCGTGCTACTGGGCCCATGCTCTGGGGGTGTGCACGTGTATGGGTGCGGGTGCACTGCTCAATTGCTCAGTTAAGGCAGGCAGCCTCAGTATTTCCCTTTTAATGATGCTGCCAGATGATTAGCCCAAAAGCTCTTAATGAATGCGAAAAGAGACTGCCAAGCAGCAGCAGCAACCCAGATCTCCCCTGGGGCAAGCTTGCCCATAGAGGATCCTTTTTCTTGGTATCAAGCTCCATGACCCATTCAGATAATAACAGGGCCAGCTGCAATGTATGTCTGAGATAGGATACCAGACCCTCTAGTCCAGCATATACACAACAATCCTTTATGGCAAAGCTGAAGAAAGAAATCATGCAAACCAGGGATTCTTCCAGAAATAAAATTACATCTACTACAGAGAAGAGCACTCCGATGAGTAATGGAGTCTGTTGTTTTCACCTCCTTTCCAAACTTCATAAAACTAGCAATTCCTTAAGAAATAGGTCTTTCTTTACTCTGAGCCTCATGCTCCACCTCCATCAACAGTTCCCTTTTCTAGTTCAGGAGAAAAGCTGATAAGCACCTTTTCTTCCATGTGGTCCTTCATAAAATACCCATCTTGAGGTTAAAACCCAAAACCCAAGGAAAATTCCCTAAGAATCCCCAGGTACCAAAAAAGGGCATTCCAGCAGGGCCAAAGAATAGGACTCAGAGGAAGGAGCAAAACCCCTGTCTTGAGAGATGTAGAGAATGGATAAAGAGGAAAAAATCATTCTGCAGCCCTGTTAAGACTTCTTACCTGTTAGACAGGTCATCTTTGCCAAGGGGGTGACCTGATTCCTTGGCTGCTGGCATACATGGTGCCTTTTTTTTTCCAAGCTGGGCAAAGAAGTAGCACAGGCTGGGGAATGGTCAGTTTTCCTTGATTCAACCATGATATGCACAATAGCCGAGGGGCTGCTCTCAGGCCCCAGCAGTGAGGCCAGTCGGGAGTGCAGTTTTGTTATTGTAGCCGCAGGCCCACTTCCAATCCAATTACACACAGCAGCTGTGCTAGATCCTCTTTACCATCCCCTTTCCTTCCTCTGCTATATAATTCCAGGAAAGGTTTTGTCATTATCAGAGGCAGTGAGTTAGGGTGAGTGGCATCTACTCTAACTGATCAAAGGAATAAGAGCATGAGGTAGAAGCCAAAGAGAAAGATGTTTGCCCCAATGTCTATGGAAGCAATAGTGTTTGAACAATACTATCCTCCTTCACCCCGGGTAGAAAGAGTATTCTGACATTGCATGTGGCATACTCCTAGAAGTATTCACACAGGGAGGGCTACAAACATGATGGTGTTTGAAAGCACGAAAGCAAACATGCAAGTGTTCACATAGATGGCGCACATAAAAGAGAATGTGTGCAGGGAGCAAGACCTGAGGGTGAATGTGTTTTATAGTTGACCACAAGAAGATGCATATCACTGCAAATGAGAGCAGGAGGTGCACAAGTTGGGGAAAGAACTGTTAGGCATGGAATACAATTCCTCATCTTAGAAAAGACATATCAGACTACATAGGTGATAATGCGAAAATCCCAACTGAGACAGAGCTGGTGAACAGGAAATATCTTTTTCCTAGTTTGTGGGGAACACAAGGAGCAGGAGTCACTGAATTAAATTCTCAAGTAACAGGTATAAAAACAGCTGAAATAAAGTATTTTCCACATTACAAGATTAAACAATGGGACTTGTCATCACAGGATACACTGGAGTGAAATATTTTAAATGGATTAATAAGAACAAAGAGTGGACACATTCAGAGAATATATGTTCATCGATGACTGCAGAACACCACAAACTGGATGCAGTATCAGGTCAGAAAGTCCTTAAATTGGTAACTACCAGAAAGCACAAATGTATCAGGACAAGACCTATTCTAACGTAGTTTCTTCATCCTCCTCCAAAGCATCTACTTTCATAAAAAGACACTTCTGGGATAGAGGAATTCTTGCTCTGACCCCAGTGATCACTACTACTGCCCCATTGTTGAAAATAAGTGTGCATGGAACTGAAAAACATTCATATTTCAGTGCAAAAAAATTCCAATTAGGGGACAGTACCTGTGCAAAGGGCACGCAAGAATGAAAATAATGGTGGCACCTATGAAGAAGAGCCTAAGCCTGTACATACTGGTTTCAAACACCTGACGAATGGCATGAAAGATACAGCATAGATGGATTCCTATTCTGATCTACTATCCTCTGCAAATAGGAAACTTCAGATGGGCTGAAACCAACCATTTTCATGCCCAGAAAGCAGAGTTTTTCTTTAAAGAAGCAGAAGCCAGCATACAGGTACTGCTTAAATGACCCTATGATATGGAATTAGGGAGACCAACTAGAACAGCAGCCTTGAGATGAAGAAGGAAAAGAAGCCTTTAGAGGTGGAGTTTGAAAGATTAAAGACCTGTATCAAAAATGTGCTAGTATACTTTGTGCTTTCAAGGATCTCTGTATCTTTATGAAAGAGTTGCTCGGGCAAACAAGGACTAATTTTTCTTCAGGGAACTACAAGTTCTTTCTTCATTCTTTCTCCTGCATATATTCTTCCACTAAAAAAAATACCTAAGTGAGACAGGACCATATAACTTGTTCCTGGATCTACTGGTCTTTTCCCAACTATTTATCTTTCAGAACCTACACCACTGGTAAAGAATGCAAGGAGCAAAGAAAGGAATAGATATTGTGCAGAGGTGACAGAGCTATCCATTCTAGTCTGTGCTGCACACCACTTCCCAGCCAAGGCACTTAACCTCTGTATTAAGGCTCTTAAACTCCACAGTGTTCAGCCCAAGCACTCTAAGCATGTTGTGAAGGTGACGTGAGACTGTAGCTATAACCCCAAAGGGAAAACTGAAGTACTGAAAAGAGGAGTTATTTCTCCTCCAGATCACACAGCGAGTCAATGACTCAGCTGAGTGCAAACAGCAACGATTCCAATTCTAGAGCACTGCTCAGAATGTGGTGTTGTTATTTTATACCTGGGTATATAACATTTGCAGGACAGGTGAGTTAACATGTGACAAACTTTTTTCATTTGTGAAATAAGCCAGATGGGATCAAGTTGGCTCTTGAAACTAGTGTAGCACATGAGCCCCTGTTGCTACAGCACTCTTCTTCACAAGCAGAGACCTCACATCCAGGAAGGCTCATGCCACACATTTTCATTTACTTTGAACAAAACCAACTTCTTTGCACCTTACAGAAACTGCACTCAGCAGAACCCTGTGGTCCCCACTGCTGTCAGCCCCAGTCTATTCTCAGCTACCTCCTCTTACTGGGGAATTAGTTCTAACCAGTCTATTCAACAATAATGAATACTCAGTTAATCAGCGGGCTCTTTACGGCCCTTCTGCTGCCTATGGTAGTTACCACTAGCTCATAAAATCCCTAATTTGTCTTTCAACAGTGGATGGTTAAAGTAACCATTTTGACAGGGGCCTGAGGCTCTGTCCTCACAACACAGATTAGCTGGAAAGCCAAACAGGTGGAAAGTCTCTGCACAACTTGGCAGAGGGTAAGTGTAGACCCAAACTTGCTGGAGGTCTAAGTCCCTGCCCAGTCACACAGCAGGGCTAATGTACCTCCCAAGGTTGATCTGAATAGAAGGATGAGACCTCACAGGCATAAACAGTGACAGAGCCCTATAATGAGGTGTAGTTAGTTGACAGACTGAAAACATTGGGAAGAGTGAGGGAGGACATGAAAAAGAGCATTCACATGTGACTAGAAATCCACATGAGAAAGCACACAGCAGTCCTGAGAATAAGAACACGTGTATGAGCAATGGGGAGAATAAAAAATGCACATCCAAGTATATAAATTATGAGAATAACAGGGCAGTGGGGCAGAAGAGCAGTCAGGGAGCAGAAGGATGGTGCCCATACTAACAGCAGTTTGGTCCTGTGGCACTAGATATGCCACCTCTGATTGGGCTCTTACGAGTGATGCTATCATCTCCTGCACACCATGAGATGTCCCTGATGTTGTTTGAGGCAACACTTGTTCTTGGCATAATATGAGTCCTACTGGTAGAGCACAGCAAGGCCATGCCTTCTCAATTCAACCATCCTCAGCAGGATGTGGAATACAGAGTAAAGCGGTCTAGTTCAAGTAACCCTTGTAGCTGAAGTTGGGGGACTCTGATCCTTTCAACAATGAGACAGCAGACTGAGGAGGGCAGTATGGAGTTCTCTGTGGTAACATACATCATTGTGGAAGAACTCAAAAAATAAAAAAGCACATAAAACACACATTCTTTCTTCCTTTTAAATGAATCATTTGTGCCCTGGTGGAAATAAAATTTTGATACCTAAATAGGATCACACATTCACATTTAGCCCGAAAGACACTCAATGGTTTTTAAAACTGTCAAATAAAATAACACCAAAAAGCCCTTTTTTAGTGGAACTGAAACTCAACAGGTTATCAGTGGGAGTAGCAAATGGAGTAGACTGCAGAAGGAGAAAGAAAATGACTGAACTAGATTTACACGCCAGACTACACACAGATGTATCAGAAATATCCTGTATACAATGCAGTATTCAATGCCAGGTAATTAGCAATACAAGTAACCATTTTTAATGTCATTTTCATTCAGAAAACCTCCCTTTAACTGACCAGCACAGTGTAGCCTCTCAATAAGGAAGTCTGTGACCTTTGCTACTACAAAGCCCTCCTTTCAGCAAAGACTGTTCAATACAGACCTCGTGACATCCAGTAGGAAGAATTGTTCTGTACACTCTCAGGAAGCGGGATGAGATTCCTGCCCCAAAAACTACCCACCACCACTCCTTAAAGAGCAGCCTTTCCGCTCGGCAAAAGCAACACTTACCTGGAATATGATTGACATCTGCCGAGGTGTTTTCATGGCAAGCAGAAAGGAGAAAAAGAAGAGAGAGAAAGAGAAGAGAAAAAAAGCCATTAGAGATGCACACAGAAACTCAGCATCCTTGCATGGAAATCAATTTCATGCAAAACCAGAAGTAATTAGGTTTCTTTGAAGGCCACCCATCTGCAGCCAAGCACGCCGCCATGCAAGGGAGGAGACATTGGCTCCCTCTCCACTGTGCATGTAAAAGTGAATCCACCACCATATCTGTCCGGAGAGAGAGTTCCTGGAATCAGATAGAACCAAGCCACGTCAGTTTCTGTAAGAATATTGGTTAAAATATTCTACTGTTTTTCACACAAATGCATAAGAGAGAAATAAAAAACAACCTTCCTGCAGGAAGTTTCTATAGCACATAAATTCAAGCAAGTTTTCAGAAAAATAGAAAAGAACCTGCTCCCCTTTTACGAGGGGCCATGTGAATTTATGACCAGGTGCAAGACACCCAAAGTACAGAAGAGAGACCATTCCTTTTCATTCCTCTTGCCCATCGTTCCCCAAACAACATCCTTCATTGCAGACAGCAGTAGAAGTGGGGGAGAAGGAGTATGCCAGATGCCTGCACATCCCACATGTTGTCTTTTCACAGGCTGGTAAATCAATCACACAAATCTCAAAATAAGTAAGTCCTTTAAAAAAGGCAGAAGCAAGACTATGTAAATCATAGTATTGATCACAGAAAAGCCATATCTTTGAATGTAGTGTCTGTTTTGGGCAGTGCCCACCAATCCCAGAGAATGTACTTGTCGTAACTTTTTTAGCATCCCAAGTTTAGTCTTGCTCTGAATAGCTACACTTACCATAACACCAGAAGGGAGGAGCCAAAATCTCACGGGATTAGATTAGATTAATATATTCCTTCCAAGGCAGCCCTCAAAAAAACTAAGCAAAATAAAAAACAAACCAACCAACCAAACAAAACCCATCTCCAAACAAACCAACAAAACAAACAAACAAAAAAGCCTCACAACTTGTTAGCATTCTCCCTTGGAGGCTTGTACCTTGTCCAGGAATTGTGCTGTTAGAGGTATCACCTTTCCAGGCAATAAATTAATGATTTGGACTACAGATCCCAGAACACTTCTGCCATAAGTCTAGGAGCATGACATGCTGGGTGCACTGGCTTCACACCAAGGTCTAAGAATGTATTCTCCTACCCCAAATGTACCCACCAATTTCCATCAGTATTCCCCCGTCCTGTCCAAACCCACTGTTTTGCTGTGAAACTGGGGCCACATATCTTCTTCAGACAATTGCATTTCAGTGGTAAGTGATATCTGTTCATGTTGCTTTTTGTTTATCACCCTCTGTTACTGTTTGCTTATCACTTTGCAAGGACTCCAAAACCATTTGAGGAAAAGTCCCTGTGGTACATCACATATATATCAAGCCATCCTTCCCTAAGGAGGTAACAACCTAAATAAAACAATGCATAAAGAGGGGAGGGACTATTGCATTGGCTCATTTCATTTCTATAGCTTCTACTAAACATATAGGTCAGATCTGATGAGGGTTATTCTTTGGTTTTCCTCTTTTAAGGTATAATTGTATCTAAGAACTGGTGTCTTGGCATGCAAGCCTGGAAGGACACTTAGCACTGAAAGTTTACCTGAAAGCAATTATTGTTATGTAGGAAAAGAAAACAAGTGTCAGGCAGCAATGCATGCACTGAGGATGGAAAGCAAAAGGAGGTGAAAGCAGGGGCAGAAGGAAGGATCAGTAACAGTTAGAGATGATCGCATATCTCAGAAGAGGTAGAAGTGAGCACCACAAGGTATTACAAATGTTTCTGATAACCTAGAAGCTGCCCAAAAACCTATTCTAAGCAATTAAAAAGCTCTAGGCTCATGCTGTCCTATCAGCCTCCCTGCACGCCTGACAGTGGAGCAGGCACTGCTACAGCCCGGGCTACCTCAAGGGGCCTGAAACAGCAGGCAGACTCACCAGAGTATCTGTGCTCCAGAAGGAAATCTGTGGGATGTTTAGGGAATAAAAAGCATCAGCAGATAGAAAGGGCAAAGGAAAGAGCTAACCAAGAGTGAACAAGGGATAAACACATTAAGTAAATAAGAGAAGAGGCAGTTGGCTGTAACTGATACACTGCTTGAAATAATACTTATTTAACTATGTGAGAATTAAACAGGTCATGAAGCTGTTAAAGAAGGGGAACAATGAAGTGCTAAGAGCTAACATAAGCATCTCTAAAATGTAGTTTCTTTTTACCTGTATTTTTACCTATATTTTTTGTTCCCACCTCCCTAAGAGCAGGCATCTCCCATCCTGACTGATTTTACTCTAAACTTCCTTTTTGCTGTATTTTTTTTAAAGTTTCCACCAAACACAATTTCTGTATACATTAGTTGCATCACAAAAGTCACTGTTTGCACCTCTGTGACACTTTTGCAGTATTTACCTACATGGTAGCCCGGGTTATTATTGTTACTTTCCATACTAAATAAAAAAGGAGTTTCTTGTATTGCAGACACCCCCCCATGTGGTATCTACTGGCAAATGCTGATTTTCAAATGGTGAAACTACTTAGTTTTTATTTTAAAACAACAACAAAAAAGCACTGCTTTCTTTATGAAGACAAAAAATAACATATAGCAAATCAACCCTATAATAAATACCACTGTGGCAGACAATGGAAACTGCCATGCAAGTCACAGAATCACGGAATATTCTGAGATGGAAGGGACCTATAGGGACCATCACATCCAATCCTTGACCCTACACAGGACAGCCTCAAGAATCAATTCATGAGCCTGAGAGTATTGTCCAAATGCTTCTTGAACTCTGGAATGCTTGGTGCTGTGACCACTTCCCTAGGGAACCTGTTCCAGTACTCAACCACACTCTAGGTGAAGAACATTTTCTTAATATCCAACTTAAGTCCTCATTGGAAACACCTAACACCTCTGCAGTGTTGGTATCCCATTCCACTGTGGGGCACAATTAAAACTGTGGTTGCATATATAGGCAAAAGGGACCCACCACTACGTTAAGGCTGATGCCTCCACAATTAGAAGAACCTTCATGCCTGAAGAATGGCAGAAAACAGACACGGCATACAGGCAGAGCAACCAGATTTAGGGAGCTGAGTTGACTCTCCTTCAGACCCTGTCGACTGAGATGTTCTCTCAATTCTCTTCAAGATTTTCTGATTTGCTTAGAAAAGGACTTTTAATACAATGTCCTTTTTAATACAATGTCCCCACTCTCTTCCTCTTCCATCAGCAGTATCTTCCTCTCCCCACACGGGTCTCCTCCCTGACAAAGGGACTGAGGACATACAGCATTCCAATTAAACCAGGAGCATGTGGAACCCTCAGCTAGCAAAAAAAATCCAGTGACCATGGGACTTAATGCTGCGTAGATGACAGTTTCTCCACCTTTTTTCAGCTCAGAGCAGTTCAAACACAGAAAGGTCTTCCTCTTAACAAAAGACATGGCATAGTTTGCTTTATCCTATACACGGGAGTCCATTTATTGCGCCTTTGTAAAGGGCTGAGCCGCAAGCCGGTGCTGTTTGCTTTTGTTCTTTGATGCTAATAGCTGGGTTGAAAGAGGGATCAGCAGGGCCGCTGCCTTTGTCTGATGCAGCAGCCTCAGCCATCTGGGTGGGGTGGAAGGGAAGCAGGAGGATGAAGGCAAGCAAGAGGAACAAAGCAAACGTTTTTATAGCGCAGATCATTTTCATGCCACGTACAGGAAACATCCAAGGTATCTTTCACTCTAACCTTTTCAACAAGAAGTTTAGGAAAAGGGGGAGGCTTCATGAGAGTGTGCTTCTCTCCATCTGGAAGATAAGAACAGTACAGACTTTCCATGCGTACCAGCCCAACAGTACAGATCATCTTGGCCTGAAGAGACCTACTTTTGTTTGCATCTCTGTGGTCCATTCAGTCTTGTCCCTTGCTTTGATGTGTTGTGTATACCTGCCTTCTGCCAGCTAAACTGTGAGCCACTAACTGAATTCCCACATCACAAACAAGTTGGCAGGTGGAAGCATCCTAGGCTAAGTGGAAATAAGCACCTAGAAATGAATGGCACTGTCTTGTGCTATAAATCCCTAAAGTTCTCTAGCATCCCCCTCTGGTGACTCTCTCTCTGAACACTAGTGTGTGGAGAGGACTGGGGAGCAGGCAGCAACTGGGGAGAGGAGGAAGGCAAAAGTCATAACACTTAAAGGCATTTTTTGTGTCATAGGAGACCCACTCCCAAATAAGAGGAGATTCAGCTTTTAGACAGGAAAATTACTGTATTTTGAAGCTTATTCAGATATTGATACCTAAAAAAGCTTTTCTAAAGCAGATTTGCCTCTCATTCTGCAAATACAGAAAATGGATGGACAAAAGTAAAGTTTCACTGACAGCATGACTGATTGGGAACTCTGTCACTTAATGTGACTTACTGACATATATATATATGGTCCCTGAACAGTATATTTATACATATATATACTGTTCAGGGACCATAGATTGATCCATTTATGGCAAACTGTGAAATTATTAAAAAAATATATGATGAGCCAGCCTAGATTCCTGCCTACAGTGTAAGAGGTGTTGATTACTCAGAAGTTGGTGACTTCCCCTAAACTAAGCTCTGATGCTACATGTTAACAATATGAAGAGCTACATTTTGGCTCAGCTAGAAACCCCTCAAATTGCCATGAGCAAATTCTTCATTAATTTGATACTTCATCAAACAAAGTGTTAATTCCAGATGATGATTGGCAAGTGGTCTCATTCCATCCTTATCTGTCTGTTAAGGTAAAGGTAAACATATGGTCCTACTTCACCTCCTACAGACTCCTCGTCTTTCTCTTCAGTACAAAGTGCTTCAAAGCCTTCTGGGAGGGTTATAGCAACTCAAAAATAAATAAAAAAAAAAAAAAAAGCGCACTTTGATTGTATAAACAGCTTCTAACAAAAATTTGCTTGAGTAAAGATGGGGGCTGT